AGCTGGAACAACATCAGTAGAAGCGCTGATACCTTTCACATAGCGTGAGAGCAGCCTTGAGCTTTCCTTTTATCGGGGGAGCAGAATACTCTGGCTTAATAAAACCTATTTGTAAGCGAAGGAGATGTTGGAGGGAGGCAGGCTGGAAGGTGCAATTATTATTACTACATGCTGTGCCCTCTGAGGAGGTGATTCCTGCTCAGTCAGCACATTGCGGACAGCACCGTACGCCCCAAGAATCACCACTTTATGCTTTTCAAGTAAGGGGGGGAAACCTTGTTGTGTAAACAGCTGGGGAGGGGGGATCTGCTTCTAGGCCTGGCTTTACCTGGTTGTGGTCGTGGGCTGATGAAAGAGTGGGTGCTCCAGAATGAGGTGAAAGGTTCGATATTCCCGTCAGAAAGGGATGATAATCCAGTCATCCGTGATAGAACCTACTGACAGGGTGGGGGGTACAAGGTTTGGGCAAGTATTTGGGATCCTGGGGTCTGGTCCCAGTTGTGTTACTGATTCACTTTGAAGCAGTAAACAAATTTGTTGCAGTTCTCTCACGTGGCCTTGGCGCCTGTGAAGCTCTATAACGCGCCGTGTGAAAATGTGTCAGAGAGAGAAATGTCAGTCTGCAATTACTCAGATAATACAGTCTCCTGAATGGCTCTGTACAGCCCTAAATAACACGGCTACCTGAGCTGTAAGGGAAGGCAGAATCCGCCCAGAAATCTTTATATTTTTCCTGATCGCCATTTTTTTGTTTCTACTTTCTCACAAACTTTTTCTCCTACGCCCCGCTCTGCGCGCTGCCGTGTTCGTACCGGTCTCGGGAGCATAGAGATTGCAAGGTGGGGAGAGACGAGAGTAGCCAAGGGGCCTCTTAATTAACTGACATGTAGTCACCTGTAGTCCACCCCAACCGTGGCATTCACCCCCTGGAGTCTGCGGACACGGAACGAAGGCAGACTTGAGCGAAGCTTGTCGTTAGATAATTTGCAGAAGCACAGCTTCCTGCATGTCTGCATTTCCGTGCCGCGTGGCAGACGAACGTGACAAACAACCTATCTTTCTTTTCCAAAGTCAGAATTTTCTCACCTCACAAAAGCAACCCACAGCGATAGAACCCGTTTCAGCTGTACGCTGCGGGCTTGATGGGGGTAGAGTTTAAATACCATGCTGTTCCTTTCTTAAACTGATAAAGAAAGTTTAAGAAAGTTTTTAAGCCATGAATTTAAAGAAAGAATTGAATTTAATTGAAAGAAAGAAAATTGAAATTGAAAGAAAGGATTTTAAGCCATGAATTTAAAGAAACTTTTAAGAAAGTTTTTAAGCCATGAATTTATTTGCTGGTTTTCCATCACGTTCATTTCCATGAGTGTTGGTGCAAAGGGACGGGAAAAAACAGTATTTCAGTGTCTGTAGCAGTCTGAAAGCAAGTATTTTTGGCATCCAGGGAGTGAACTGCAATGAGAAATCCAGACTCAAGGCACAGACGCGTTCCTTAGCCGAACGGCTTCACTTCCCAGGTGTCCCAGCCATTTAGGAGCCTGTTATGCCGTTGGGTTCTCTGCGGTGGATGCTTAGGATAACCACTGGGAGAGGAAGTGCTGAAGGGCAAATATTAAATTATTCTGTAAAACTTAATGTGTCCAGAAAAATAATGGCACTCTGCCTCTCCTCGGCTGTGCCGACTGCTGACCCCCACGGGGCTGAGGGGCGCTGGGCCTCTCTCTCCCTGGGGGCTGCACCCTCCCTGCAATATTCCCCAGTGTTCTGGCTTCAGGCACAAATGTCCCTCTAGCAGCAATTCCTAAATGGAAGCTGAATCCCTGACGGCAAGGACCCTCTTCACTAGTGCTTTGTACAGGGCCGAATACCATGGGGTGACACTCTTAATGTTTCTTTCCAATGTAGCCTTTTTAGCAAAACCATCCTCTAATTCTTGCCCAGCAACAGTGAGTATTTGTCTGTCTTTTACTGGAAAACTTGCAGACCTTTGATTTGGCCGGATTTGAGGGGACAGTTGTGGTTACTGACTGTTTCACCTGGCATCAGCGGGGACGGTGAATACTGGCGTTTGGCAGTGTTTCCCTTGCCCACCTGGCCTAATACATGGCTCCGAGCCACACGCAAGTCTTCGTACCATGGCAGGGATTACACAGAAAGACTCCTGCGACTCGCAACAAGTGTGAGAGTTCATCTCATTAACCGATTTCAGTTCATTTGGCATTAACTAATTCCCAGAACGCCCATATGTTTGTCCAATATGTTCTACGAGGGGGAGGATTCTCTAAATCCTTTCAGACTAGCTTGTCGCTGGCCCTTCACACACATCCCTGCTGTTACGTGGTGTGCGCAGTCACTCCGGGAACCTGCCAGCGGCCAGAGCGGCTTTTTCTTGGGTTTACTCTTTTTTTAGTTTTTTAATGGCGTGGGTGGGAGGGCTCTTGGTAAACCGCAGTCTTAGTCTTTCGCATCAACTGTGCCGGGCTGCTACCAGGACTCTGATCCCTGTGGATGCTATTTCCTGTTGTGTCCTGTCTGTGTGCTGTTTCACTCTTGATGCTTGAAGAATTTGAGCCGCTTCTGCTGGGACTCCTCAGCAGTAGCATCACTAAACCCCGGGCGCGCGTCTCCTCAGGGTGTTGTGCTGAAAACAACATAATCTGTAGTTCGCACCCGTTATTGAAGATGAATTGTCAGGCTTTGTACTGGAGGTAAGTGTGGCCAAATTCCACCGCCTCCCCGTATTTTAGGCGTTTGTCAGCAGCAGCCGCCTGGCAAAGGACGCGTGTGTTGGGCGGGAGATGGGAGAGAAACGCCCCGACCAAGTTAAACTTAACGAGGGTTTGCGTCGCGCTCTGGAGACGCGCTTCGTTACCCCCACTGCGTCGAGACAGGGCTAAGGACGTGGAACGCGCCAGGTACAGAAGAGAGGGATCGCGTGAACTGCGTAACTTACTGAGAAATAAGTATGTCTGAAAGTTGGCTTGAGGGTTTCTGATCGTTCTGAGACATTTTTCTTTGTAAGTAACTGGATGATTTCTTAAATTAGCTGGAAGAGGTGATTTGGGGTAAGTGCTGGAAGGCTATATTGTTAAGGGAATCAAATAACCACCTGTGAAGCGTAGCAGTGGTTGGCGTTAAGTGATGGCGGTTTTTGTGCAAAACCAGTGTTTTCCTAGCAGTGAAGGAGTTGTGAAAAATTGTTATTCATAAGCAGAAGCAAGTCGTTTTTTGCTTGAATTGTTTGCTTAGAATAGTCGTTCCGATGTGGTTCAACAGAACACGCTCTCGCATGTCTGTAAGCGTGGCAAGGCTGCTGCCATGGCGGTGCTGCAGCGAGGCCTGCGAGCCCTGCCGGCCCGGTGCTCTGCTCTTCCCTCCCGCTGCACCCTCGCTGTGCCAGAGGAACACAGCAGCTACAGCAGAGGCTGCTTGTAGGATTCGTGGGCTGAAACAATCAAAGCCCGAACAGACGCACTGAGGCTTAGGGGGAGCGCTTGTTATTATGATACTTGAAAAAGCAGAATTGGCCTTTTTTGTTAGCATGTTTTGTCTTTTTTTTTTTCCGCTCCAGTTTTCATCTCTCAAATACTCGTCCGTGATGTCTTCAGCAGGGGATGTCGCCGGGGGTGTTGGAACGTCTCACGTCTGTAGCAGGAAGGGTGTTTGTAACTGCGCTTGGGGAGCACCTGCTGTTGGAGCTGTGCTGCGGATGGTGCCCCCGTCTGACCTCAGATGGGTGTGCAAACCGGTGTGCAGGGCTACACGAGTGTGCCTACGTGAGAGCTGCAGTCAGGGAGATTATCCCGCTCGGCTGGGGTAGTGCGAGCTGAGGGTGTAGCCGGGAAGCTCTGGGCTCGGCGCAGGCCCTGCGGGATGGTTTGGCTGTTGCCGTGCTGCTATTGCAAAGCTCTAAGGGCACTGCTGTTGTCAGCTTGTGGAAGTGTATCCTGATTTTTAAGCAGGGATTTTCCTCTGACTTATATCTTTGTATTATAATTATATCATCATCATCTTATTTATATCTTGGTTGAGACTCTTCCCCTTGTTTTTATCTTGGAAACACCATTTGCTTTAATTTTAAGAATGAACTACAGGTCTAGTAAAGTAGAAGCCAGGAATTGGGATCATGGATTAAAGTGTAAACCACCCCCCCACGAAAACCCGGCAGGACAGGATGTTTCACTTGTGCCTTGAATGTCTAAAGGAGTCTCATCCACCTTGTCACTGGCTCTGGGCAGGTGTTTGCTATAGGAGGGGAGGGAAGCACATTGCTGTGGCGCAGGGTTACCTGTAGGTTGGCACGAAAGAGAAGATCACTGTCACATGTGCCACCTCTAACTTGGCAAGCAGTTAGTCCACCCAAACGTAGGTGGTCGCATTCGGATGAGTCCCTAGACTCCAGTCGTGCTGACGGGATCTCCGTTGCCCGCAGGGGAGCCCATGGGTACCGATCGACATTGCAGCATGGGAGTGCTGTCCCTGGTGTCAGCGCTGAGTCCCCAAGGCTGCTCGTTCTGCAGAGTATAAACGTGTCTTCAAACCAGGGAGATCACACGCAACCTGGAAAAAATTTAGGAGACTGTTTTTACGCCGTAATTTCTCTTATCTTCACTACTGTGAAAACAGTGTTGAGGAGCCTTTGCAGGCAGAATTGGATGGTAATACTACCAGCTGCTGCACAAAGCAGGGCTCACTTGCATGGAGTGATTTTCGTGTTCTATTTGGCTTAAGCAAACTTTGAAATGTATTTTAAAGACCAGAATCCTAAAGTGACCGGCCAACGATGGGAGGAGAGGTGGCCTAATAGTTTTGTTTCGTCTCCAGCTACTTCTTCTATGGGAAAGTTAGCACAGGAATTGGCTCGCTTCTCCTTTCCTGTAACAGATGAGCTGAGGTACTTGGATTTTAACTAAAATGTTTTGAAATTTGCAGTTACAGGAAATTTTCCCTCCTTACTAAAGAGCCTGACAGGCGTTGTTGTCTCTTCCCCCCTCCCAAAGCCTACAGCCAGAAGGCACAGATGTTCTCCTAGGACCAGAAGTAACTTGTGGGCCCTCAGATTTGTCTGTCGGCACTCCGTTTGCCTTGACGATCCCGCACTGCGCAGAGGTCAATCCCGAGCACTGGAATATTCACTTGAAAAAAAGGACACAGCAAGGAAAATGGGAGGTAAGTTTAGACGCCTGCTGGCACTGACACCCTGGGCAGCCTCTTCCAGTGCCTGACCACTCTCTAGTGAAGTTTTTCCTAAGAGCTGAGCAAGAAAGGCAGAAGAGTGGGATAGGGTAGTTTTCTGATGAAAGCAAACATAACCGTAATGGGTGTTTGGAAAGGAAGTCAGGTACCAACCGTTGTTCAAGGTTTGCTTATTGATTAATCTTCGAGGTAATTTCTTAACTTGACATTGGGAAAAAAATTAGCTAGAAAGCTAAGAGCACTTGAAAAAAGATGCTAAAACTGCTTACACATCATCATTACTATTATATGCTGTACACATTGAATTCTGCACAGTATATTGCCATAAATCCTGCTGCTGACTCAGGGCTAAATTGGGAGCATTTCCTCCTGTAGGAAATCTGCTTCCTCCCCTTCCCTGAAGTCAACTTGAGTAAAGAGTGTGCAGACGGGCTCTTGAAATACTTTACGTTCCAGCTGAACTAAAAAGACCAAATAATGTCATGACTCCTATTGTCCTGAATTTCATTTTGCAGGAAGTGATGTCTGTGGAAGAGGAAACTACTTCTTGCTACTGCCTGTTGGATCCTTATGCCTGTCACATTCTCTTAAACAGCTTTGGAACTTATGCTCTTATTGGAGAACCGATCTCTGACTGTGCCGTTCGACAGCTGAAAGTAGCGGTTTTTGGCTGCCTGTCTTGCAATTCTCTGGATTACAATCTGAGGGTATATTGTATGGATAACACACCTTGTGCGTTTCAGGTAAATGGTTTCACTTTGTTAATTGGGTTTGTTATTTTTCTACAGAAGACCAATATTCCCTTATTCCTGGGTATAGTCACTGGGCAACAGGAACAGTCCAGAACTCAAACGAGTTGTGCAGGTTTTTATATGCCAATGCTTTATGACTTACTCCCTGTCCCTTAATTTCTCTGCACTGCTGTTTCCCCTGTGGATTTACCCTGCAAGAGCTGTCGGGCAGCCAGACTGCCTGTCATTTTTTGCCAGGCAGAGGGCAGCCCGCTCTGCCCATCGCAGACTAACCACAACTCGGGTGGCCAGGGTTAACAGAGCCCCAGCTGATGCGCAGAGCGTGTAGGTTGGGCCCAGGGCCTTGGCTCCGGCATGGGCGCAGGCAGAGCTTGGCTGCATCTGGAGCCACTCCGCCCCAAGCAGGAGGCGTACCTTCTTATCCCTGGATGTGCAGTATTCATCACGCTCCTTACCCCCACGCTGCCATTAGTGGGGTCAGGATTTCCTCTCCTTTTTATAATTTGAGCAAGAGGAAAGATGTTGCTTCACTGTCTTTTTAAACATTTTAAGAATTAAATTATAATTGTGTGTTTCCCCTTTAGAAAAAAACCCAAAACACCACAAAACAATCCCCAAGTGGCCATTAAAATTAGCACATGATATTTCTACATGGTGTCCCAAGCCAAAACAATGAAATTCACTGGCTTTTGCAGCCTTAGGAAACTGGGAAGCTTTAACAAAATGGTTTTCTTTGGGGAACTGAAATGAAGACAGTTGTGACAGATGAATTTTTGCTCCCTTTGCCTATGGTACAGAATAGAAACATGAATCTTAATGAAGCACGCGCTAACGTCTGTGTGCTTCTAATAAAAGCAAAGCCTCTGAAGGGATTGCTAAAGACTTACAATAGCTTTGTAATTATACCCTCTGTAATACTCACACAATTCGTGGGTTACCAGTATTTTCCTGGATGAGTCTGTCTGAAATTCAGGGGCCCAAATTCCTTCTCAGGCATTTGTGAGTGACAGTAGCTCTGGGTCATACATTGTCACTATAAACCTGTATTGCCTGATGCCTTCAGCGACCCCGTCGGTTATGCCCCGCATTTAGTATCGTGCGGCAGGTTTCTAAAAACCTACAAATATCTTTGGAACTTTTAAATACAGAGAAAAAACTCCCACGAAACTGTGCAACACATGACGAAAGGGAATGAGATTGATCTTATTCAGAGCAGCCATTTATTTTTCCACAGTTTCACACAGCATGGTGCAGTCTCCTTCAGTGATTCATTCATGCCGAATTTTAGCTGGAGTATATTCAATTTAAAAAAAACCCAGAAGCCCCCGCCCGTAGCAGCCTTGATTTGACTGTACCACGCTGTTTCTCAAGGCATCGTGATGCTCAGCAAAACAATGAGGAGACTGGCTGCTTTTTTTCTTAGTGCACATTAAATTAAGGAAGATTTCAAAGTTACTTGTTGCTTTTCTGTAGGAAACTGTTAGACGCATAATTAGCACATTCACAGCAATTAGAACAGGGTGTTTGTACATAATGAGACAACTGTGTATTTATGACATCATAGTTCCCTCAAAGCACACTGCATCAGCTTGCTGCTGGCGTAAAAAGTGGCGAATGTGGAAAATGCAGATTTCTAAAGTATCGGGGTTGGGCTTACCGAGTTCTGTCTGACACTCAGTGCTGTACAGTGCAGTCCCTACCTTCATTTTCCAACAGGTGACTTGGCACTTTATGCAGTTTCCGTCATGCTGGGAAACTCTGGCTCTCGAAAGACAAAAGAACCAAATCCTTTGTATTTTGCCACAGCCCTGCTGACGCCTGTGCATTACTGAGCAGAGCAGTATTTATACAACTACGGTACATTTAAAAGGAATCGAACCCATCCAGGGGCTTTTGAAAATAGTTATGAGATAAGCTACTCCCTTGGCAGCTGAAAAACAGAAACTGAAGTCTCCCTTCTTATTCCTTTCACCTAAACCCAACCATCAGGAGTTAAAACAGTGAATGCCTGTAGATGGGTTTACAATAGAAATCCGTTACCAGTTTTGGAAGTCTCTAGCAGTCGTTACATTTCCAGAAGGTCACAATGATTCCAGTAGCTCTTCTAACAATAACTTCGCTGCTGACAAGCACTAAACCTCTCCAGTGTACACACACTTTATAGAATGCAGTTGGATTAAAAAAGGTAATTTTGAAAGGCTGCTTGCCAGCTGATTTTTAAAGACTTCTGGTGCTTTCCTTCCTCACTGGTGTTTTTACTGTAACAGTACAGGGATAATCATTGTGTAAGGAAAGGTGGGTTTTACGGTGATCTTTTAAATTCACAGAATTATATAAAAATTCAGGTTGGAACAGACCTCTAGGGTGCTATAGTGCAAATTCCTGTGCAAAGTCAGCCCTTCCAGGATTGCTCAGGGTCTTGTCCAGTAATTCCAAAAATGTCCAAGGGAGGAGAAATGAAACTGAAGCATTTTGCCTGGTGTGAACCGTGGGTGTGTTCCCGTCAGTGCTCTCTAAGGCCTGAGAGCACCTTCTGAGCACAGCTGCTGCTGACAGTCCGTAACCGGGCAGCCCAAGCGTGCCTTGTGCTCTCTGGCTTCCTTTTAGTCCATTAAGTCAACATCTCGCTGAGCTTTCTATTGCCAAGTGCGTAAGGAACACCAGTCACAACCTGTAGGAGCTTTTTATTCAAAAGCATAATTAAAACACCAAGGATAGTCATGCTACTCTAGAGCAGAAGAGAGACTAAATTACAGAGAAGTCACAGTTTAACCCGTTTCCATCTTCCTCTTTGGAGGGAAATGGCTTTACCTGGAAATGGGCTGCCGTAGTCTTGCTTCCCTCTTTGTGCTGATATTAGCGCTCTGGGTACTGCCCTGCTGGTAAACCTCTCCTTGGTAGCAGCGATCCTGTGGGATGCAATAAAATAGTACCAGTTAAACATGCGTCACTGGCAGCAGGAAAGAAAGCTGGCTGGCTTTGACTTGACACCCCAAAATGAGAAGACAGCTGTATTGCAATACCCCTAAAGCTTCCTTCTCAGGTCCGCGCTCCGTCTGGAGTTCTGCGGGTGTCGGGAGGCAGGGAGCCAACAAGGAACTTCAGGCCCACAAGTACCACCATGACGTGCACAAAACCAGAGCTGCCCACACCTAACCGCCCTCTCCACTCCCACAGCGAAATACGACTGCCAGTGCCCATCATCTGGCCCAGGGGAGGAGCGTGCACGGCTGTGCCTGACCTCCCACAAAGATGAATTTTCATTGGATCTGCTATTTGTTCCTAACACCAAAAAAATTCTGTCCTCCTCTGCCGTTGCAGGAAGTGGTTTCGGATGAAAGACTCCAAGGAGGACAATTACTGGAGGAACCAAAGCTGTTGCATTTCAGAGGGAATACCTTCAGTCTTCAGATCTCTGTCCTTGACATCCCTCCGTTCCTCTGGAGAATCAAACCGTTTACAGCATGTCAGGTACTTGCCCGTTTTATTTGCTCGCGTCTCATTTCAGAGGGAGGAAGCATTGCCACTGCTGCCGGCGTAACCCAAATAAGATGATGGTCCCTTTAATCTCTGAAAGGGTGGGTTCAATCTCGGAATTATGCAATGAAAGTGCACTGCCTTAAGAGTCTGACAAATGCAGAGCTCGCATGTAACAGGATGCTTTCAGTGTTTCATCTTACAAAAATGCAGGCTTGTACTTCTCCGCGTTTCAGTCACCCCCAGGTAGGTCTGTGTGCTTGTTAGAGTCTGTCACTCGAAGTGTTCCTCTCTGTTATCCTGATTCCAACATGACTATGAATTTATGGCTGAAAATGCCACTTACATGTCACAAGTTCAAGTTAGCATATACTAAGAATTAGAGGAAGAGCACGTTATTTTTTCTGTACTCCGTTAATTAAAGAGGCTGTTGAAGACAGGAAAGTAAAAAACAAATTATGACTTTCGACGTGTATTGATTACTGGAAATGATTAGCAACGTGCTGGCAGAGAGTGGGCTAGTCTTTTCAAATACAGACCATAATGAGACTCTATAATCTCCCTTTTCCCAGAAGCATATAGAGAGACCGTTATCTGACAGTCAGTACTGGGGCAAAGAGGATGGTTTCAAATGTTGCCGTGTTCTCTAAAACCTGAGTGTAACTGGCTCTGAAACTGAGAAACCCTGACCTATAGCCATCATTTTCAGCTTTTTCCAAAGAACGGCGTGCTTTTAATGTTTTCTTTATTCTGCTCGCTTTATTGCGTTTTAAAAGACAAAGCCGTTAGTACTAGGATGCCCCGCTACCATACCAAATGCCTGTCAAAACAATGCCTTCCTTAGCAGTAAAAAACCAAAATCATGAGAGTTTTGAGTTTTGCCTCACATCATATTATAAACACAGCTCCATACTTTGATCAATTGATTGTCTCCTGATCCATTCTCCAATACTGGAGAATAAATCCACATGACAGACTAAAATTCAACCTCAAAGTGTGATTCAGAAAGGGTCTGTTTTCTGAAAACCGCTTTCCAGTAACCCTTGGATACTGAGCTACGTACACGTAGCATTAGCTGGTGTAACCTTGGCTGGTTGTGAGCCCTCGGTGCGTGCAAAGTTCTGAGAGTGACCCAGAGGCCTTGGAATACTTTGTGTGCAGTTGTGCACTTTCTTGATGCTGTGTACAAGTTTTTTGTATAAATATATTGCTTGTGGTATACTAAACTCAGGTATTTCTCTGTTGGCAATACTCTGGAGTTTCCAGTCAAAGCTGAACTGCAGGGTTCACGTGGCCAACGCAAATTCCTCTCTATTAATCTTCACGCGTTGCAAGGACCTGACTTTGCTGAATCTAATGCAAGAGGCACAGTCCGAAGTAGCTACTAGATTTACTGCTGCTGCACGATAAAACCGAACAACAGTCAGATGAGGGGAAATGCTGTGCTGGCGGCAAGGCAGGCACAGAAGGGCAGACCCGCTGACGATTCTGATCACAGCGGGCACCTTACCCATTCTCCCAGCAGCCACGCAGGGTGGGACTGAAGCATGTGCAAACCCTCTGCTGACAGAATGGTCTGACACGGCGCTGATACTGAGCCACATAAATATTTACATTTTATAATTGAGTCTAGTTTGGATGACTTGGACAGCTGAGAAATAATTGTTTCTAGCAGAAACTGCAAACCAACGTAGACTGGCTTTGGTTTTCCCTCTCAGGGAAATGTTTTGTGAAACGTCCCAACTCTGTTGACAGCTCTGATTTGGTTCCAGCCTCTTTATATATAGAATAATCTATTTCTTCATGTGGAGTTTCTTCCAGTGTTTACTTGCTTTCTCTCCTACGTGCCACACTTGAACACCAAGCTGGCTGTTCTGGCTGTCAAGAGCAACTGAAAAGAGCCAGTTCCATAATCGTCCATTTGGTCGACCAAATGAAACCGTCATCTGATAGCAAAATGAGGAAGGATTTATGTTAACGCTTCAACAGCTGAGTAGCTTGCACAAGTGTGTAAGTCGTCCTGTAACACTGGCACAGGAGCAGCTAAGGGCAGGTGGCAGTCGGAATGTCTCTAGGCGTGCTATGTGCGTTTGTTTGTGCTGGCCGTCCTGCGGGAGCAGATGCTCCGGGCTTGGCATCCTTCCCGCCACGTTCACAAGTAACTGGGGGAACCCTTAAAAACTGGTTGGGTGTTAGAGCAGGAAGAGTCTGTGAGAAGCATGTTAAGAAGCCAGACGGGGACCTTTGGGGGTTAGAAGCAGCTGTCTTCCTAGCGTCTTGTGTCTCTTGGAAGATCCAGTGTCTGTCTGTAGCTACGAGATGATTTACATTCCCTCTGTCTCCTAGGAACTTAATTATAAAGGGAGAATAAAACTGAAAGCATTTCTGGAATCCTTTAAACACTCATCGTTCCACCACGCTTTGCCCCCCTGTATTATGTTTCATATAATTCTTTTCAGCTGAGTGATTCTCCCACTCTGAATGAAAGCAGAGATGATTACTCTGGAAAAATCTAATTACAGTTGCTCCACTTCTAATATTTTGCTAATGTTTTCTTTATCACTGTTGGTATCTTTCTACTGCTACCAAGTCAGGGTCTAAACGCTGAGCTTATCGTTATGACTTAGTGCGTCGTTACAGACAGCCTGGGACACTCCTACGGGGCAGGAAACGGCCTGTCAGCCGAGTACAACAATATTCTCAGTACTTGACACTGGACTGTACTTTAAAGGATGGGGTGAGGCTGATTGTTGAAGCTGTATATTCTCAGATTACCAGTGCATGGCTAATTACTTCAGGGACAGAGAAAAGATGGCAGCCTGAGGCCAAAAAATATGAGAGTAAGGATCTGATCCTGCCTAGGAGGAGTAGGTAATGTGCATCTTTCTTAAGTTTCATTGTAGATGAGAGTCTCGTCGTTTGTCTCACTGAACGAAATCTAAGCTTTGAGTAAATGCAACACTTGGTATTTATCAACTGAATCATCATTTATTAGTTTTGTCCCCCTTAGAGTTGGCAGGGATGTTAGTAAAAACACAACTGCCGAGATAAATCCTGGATTTTTTCCTGTCATGTGTCTCCCGCAGGAGGTGCCGTTCTCCCGCGTGTGGTGCAGCAGCCCGCGGCCGCTGCACTGTGCCTTCTCGCTGGAGCGCTACACGCCCGCCACCGCCCAGCTGTCCTGCAAGATCTGCGTGCGCCAGGTCAAGGGCCACGAGCAAATCCTGCAGGTCCAGACATCCATCCTAGAGGTGAAGTGTTCTCTCTCCTTTGTGCTAAGTTGCTGTGTCGTTCAGGTGTGATCCCTCCCCATTTCTGTCCCTTCTAGCTCTGCGCAGCCCTTATGCCCTGGTCAGAACTGTAACACGAATGGAAAGCCTTACAGATTCCATTTCCAGCAGAAGGCCAAGTACAGAGATTCTGCAGCGCTAAAAACGATTAACGTTTCACTTGGTGGTAATAGTTTTCTTGCAACAAGGTCTTGAGGAGCTTGCAGAGCAGCGGGAGTTGGAAACAGACGGCTTGCCTGCCTGCTCTTGGGCCGCTGACCATGTGCTTCCCAGAGCATCCGGTACCCCCCGAATGCCTCGCGGGGGCTCACAGCTCACACGTGTGGTCACACAAGGTGATGTGTCCTGCAGCAGTGAAAGCTTCGGTTGCTTTTTTTACATTACTGAGAATCTTTGTTGATTAATCCAGGTGAATACTAGCAGATTCAAGATAAACACATGCCTGTTGCTAAATGCACTGTGCAGAGAATGCAGAAACGAGTAAGAAAACCACAAACCTCATTCTGTATAAAAACACCCTCAGAATACAGCCAAGTGTCATTTCATAAAAACCTTCCATGTGCCTCAGTGCAATGTTGCTGCTGCCTTCTCTTCCCCCTCCCTGCTGGTAAAGGGGCCTATCTGCCCACAGGTCCCCAGAACATGCCACAATGCTTCCTCCAGATGGGAGCTGCTAGTGTGGAAGGCGCTCTCGGGCCTGTCTCAAAAAGCGACTGCAAAGTGGGGATAATGTGACTGCGAAGTAAATCCATAAATAACAACGGAACACTTGAATTGCTCGTGGCATTGCGACTCCCTGAACGAACAGGCAGCAGTAGCTTATCTCACATGTGCAGGGTATGAAAATCCACTATTGTTCTGCATATTTAATTTCAACAGTCAGACCATGCGACACACCTACAGCGCCACCAGTACTTTGCATGGACGGCTGTTGGGATGTGTCAGAAATGTTATATGAAGAGAGTGTGCCATCGTTGGTATTTAATATTTATGCTGCAGTGCATAACGCCTGGAAATGCGACTCAATGCCACAGGACTGCTGCGATTTCATAGAATGGGCCAGAGCTACAAAAGGGCCTGAATTCCGAATTGTATTTAAATATGGAAGAACTGAGGTACATATAGAATGTGGGTGTGTTTAAAAAAATCACAAATGAGAGATTTCTATGTCCACACCTCAGGCTTAAGCAATCGAAACCCGTACGCTTTTGGGGCTTTCATTCCACCTACCCACCGCTGCGTACCACGAGAACAAACCAAAGGAGTCGAAGGGGAACACCACTATTTCAATGTCGTTACGCATAGGTGCTTGTGGTGGTCCAGAAGCTCCTTCACGAACCAGAGAAATGCTTCTCAGTCGTTTCATTGTCCCTCATGGATTCTGCAAGCTATAGCTGGAGTCTCAGGCTCAGGGCTGATTCTTCCTTCCCCCGAAAGCAGACTCGATACCCAGTGGGTACATGTGGACGAGTAGACTCCTGCGTCAGAAGGCAGCAGGAAGGGTACGGAAAGGTCTGCGCTCGCAGCTGTTCCCATCCTGAGGAGGCTGTGCGGAAATCTTGTCCCGGTTCCCCGTTTCTAAGAGGAGGGGACGGTGGGACTCGGGGTGTTACTACATAGAGGGTCACCCACGGACCCCTGGCAGACAGAAGGCCTCTGCCCTGCCTAACTGCTCTGCTTTTATATTCTGTGCAGAACGAGAGAGAAACCATCGCTTTCTTTGCACACGAGGACAGCAACTTCCCTGCACAGATGGGTCCAAAAGCATTCAAAATCCCCTACTCTATTAGACAGCGAATCTGCGCGACGTTTGACACACCCAACGCCAAAGGCAAAGACTGGCAGATGTTAGCACAAAAAACCAGCATTAACAGGTAATGGAAGGCAGTTTTGAAAGGTGAACATTTACATATGCAATGAGAATCATTTGCTGCTGTTACGGGGGTTTGTTTGTTTGCTGGTATGAAAGACACGTGCGTAGTAATTAACACACTCGCTCTCAAGGACAAACTCACTGCTGAACAGGGGAGCTGCTTTCTCCTCTGAATAAGCCCCTGGGCCCTGGCCCACCCGGTGTTTGCTTCTGAGGTCAGTTTCTTTGCTCAGGGCTGGACCTTTTTGTTGTACACCCACAGGAGAAAGTAGGAGACGATGGAAGGATTTTGGCACTGTTGGGTACTAGGGAAGCAGTGGTTTAAGGGACTTTGGAATTTGCATGTTCTCTCACAAAAATCATATGGCTACCTATTTTGTATTCCAAAATGAATCAGACATTTTGTAGATTCTTGTTTTAAAAAGGAAAAAGGCATATTTAAAAAAGAAAGTCATGGCTCTACTGTTAGGAGTAATAATATTATGATTGCTAAAACTGAAAGATGCTGTAAAAAGTAACTTACTACTGACTTTGCTTTCTCTGCTTGGCTAAATTGAATTGGTGGAGGCAGTTCACTCTCAGAAATATCTTCTGGTTACCACAAGCACCATTAGTATGTTCCCAAGAGGGTAGCAGAATACTTGTATCAAGCAGAATAATTTTTCCCTGACTTGTTGCTTTGCATGGGAATCTCAATAAGCCACATCTGAACCACAGGAAAAATAAGTTTCCAGTCCTGCAGCAGCGAGAGTCAGAGAAATCTGCTTTACTTAGCAGTGTCTACCACCCATTGCCAGGCACTTTAATCTCCCCTGGTTTCCATGCCCCGCGCGTAGAGGAAGCTGGAGAGGTTTGTTCTTTCTCAGGAAACTGAGACACAGTGTACGGAGGAGATGATGCTGCACTTGGGTAAGACCAAATCATGATAGCCCTTCAGCTTTGGATTCTGTGCTGGAGACACCTGGAGGGACTCCGCAATATTTATGTTTCTAGAATCCAATTCACAGATGGAAAAAGGAAGTTGTCAAGCAGCTTAAACAACCCAAAATAGAGTTCTAAAGCCAGATGGTAGCGCAGAAATACTCAACTTCATAGATTTCCACGTATCTGCTGGACAGTTTCCTCACAGCATTCCCCCCCATCTATTCCAAATCCCGGCCGTGCCAGCGGTCCTGCGCGGGTCAGGGTGTTACCTGGGGAGATTAACAGCCTGGCTGTAGTTCCTCGCTTTAGACAGCGATCTGCTTCCCCGTGGCTGCTGCAAGGAACCTCTTCAGAGCGGGAATTGCACTACAGGTGCAGATACTGTCGCTGCACGCCGACTTTCGATCCCCACCAGAGGTTAATGTACCGAGGGGAGGTAATTAATGAAGCCGGAGAAAAAATGGTATCTGCCTGTTGTTCACGGGGGGATAGCAGGCCAAGAATGGTCAGTAGGAGATATTTAATTATCTTGGAGATGGTTTAAAAAGACCCCAGACACTAGCATGTAAGTCCGATTTCTTTTTGTGTGCTGCAGGCTTGTCTGTTTGTCCCTGTAGTTGTAGATATGTATCTATAGTAATTCAAATGCTGTAAATAACATTTATGCTTGTGAATGCAAAGCTGTTGCATTTATTTGGACAATTATGTCCATAAATAGAAGGAGTTATAGGCTAATGTGTTTAAGAAGAACACTTTGTTTTACCAAATCCTTGCAAATATCACCTGTGCAAAGTCCTAAAACTACCTGTTACTAAAGTATAAATTTCCCAATTACAAGATGCCATAGCTTCACATCATCACAAGCATCAATTTAAGTTACATAACTCCTCTCCCTGACAAACACTTGCTAAATTTACTAACAATATGTTGAGAACTGACTAGTTTTGTGAATTATATAGATCGGTGCTGCCGGCCAGCATTTAGGTACCTCAGGACATACGAGTCCCTTGTTCCTGCGACCTCTGCTAAACGGACATTTGAGGAACAAACGCAGCAGCGTGTGTCCTTCCTGAGGGTTCCCTCCACTCACCTCATCTGGGTCTTGCGCAGGCGTTTGGGTTTTAACCCCATCTGCAGTGCTAGGCACAGCGGAGGGCACTTGGACATGCATGGCAGTTACAGCACACCCTGTTCCTCATCCTCCCCGTTTCACCTTTCTCTCCCCTCCTTTTAGGAATCTCTCCTATTTTGCCACACAAAGCAGTCCATCTGCCGTCATTCTGGACCTCTGGGAAGCCCGGCATCAACACGATGGCGACCTTGACTCCCTAGCCTGTGCGCTGGAAGAGATAGGAAGGACACACTCCAAAATCTCAGACATAACAGAAACTGAGATTGAAGAGCCTGACTTCAACTACAGCAGACAGAATGGACTTTAGTCACTTTTTCCACTCAAGAACTGATGGCCAGCTTTGACTATCACACTAGAGAATCTCTGGCAGGGAGGAAATAAGGGTTTCTGCACACTGTGTGTATGGAAACGGACATTTCCACAGCGCGGTTTTCAGTTGGGGGAGCAGAAGAAGCCCTGTTAAAAAGCATCTCAGTAATAAGGAAACCACAAGCTTCTCCCTGTCCTCTCACTTAAAATTCATGTTTTAATGTCAGAAACAAAACTACGCATCTACCATTCCTGGGGCAGGAAGGAGTGAGACACAGAGCCATAAGAGGTAAATACTATGACGTCATGTGTTCAGGGAACAGTCATGCTCATGCAATGCCGAGTAAAGATCAGCAAATGAGATACCCAGTACTTAGAGCCATGAGAGGTTAGTCGTAGTTTAAAGGTGTCTTCTTGGGGCCTCGACTCCCCCTTGTCCTGCATCTCTAACTTACCACACCTAGAGTGGGGATAAAATGTCCTTTGGCAGCATCTTCTTGTCACTTCGTATCTGCTACAGAAACCTGAAAGTCTGGCCGTATCCTGTGCGGAACTAGACAATCTCCTATTTAACTGATACCACGTGTACTCCAAACAATTGATTTTAACCAATCCGTCAATGAATGTGTGTTTGCTGCAGAGCTTTCCTGCCTGTTCTGGTAACAGACGAACCGAACAAAACCCTTCTTTGCGGAATTAGTGAGCGTGAGAGAAATTTGCTCAAGTTCTCAGTCTGCAAACCTCCACTTTATCAAAAAAAGGTTCTTTGGGGGCAGATTTAAATAACCAAATAAACCACAGGAAACTGCCAGCCCTATTTTAGCAAGTTTATGCCTTTTATTTTTAATTATTTGATGTTCAGGGGCTAAACTAAAAAGCAAAAGTGAAGTCAAGCAGCACAGCTTAGTTTCGGTTTCGTTTCAGAGTGAAACAATAAACCTCAGATGGCTCTAGCAAAAATCAGCTTAATTTTGCTGTACAGTTTGGAAATGTCACAGGACAAAGCTGGTTGGGTTACACTTGGTTTGGTTACAAACATACTGCATTTACCGCCAAACCCAGAATCTAACTAGCACATTCTCCTCATTTTTTAATCCGTTTCATACCAAAATAATCTATTACTTCAATTGAACCAAAAGGAGAGCTGTCACTGTGAGTGTCCTAGTGGAGCCAAATTTGAATCACTTTTATTCATCTGTTCTTTACCATTAGCCAAGGTTCTCGTTCACTCTGGCCCTAGGCTGTCAGTTTTGGTGACAGGGACACAATCAGTATAAAGCAGTAACAGTAACAGGAGCTGTATGGAAATGCAGACAGGGACACAATCAGTATAAAGCAGGAACAGTAACAGGACTGTAGGAGCTGTATGGAAATGCAAGGAACAGAAAACAAGCATTCGGAGGGGTTTTTACCCCCGTATTTGGCTGAGGGCAGCACGACAGGCCACAGAGTAGGTACTTAGTGTGCAGATCCGTAATAATCCAAAGCTGCTACTTTACCCTGGATTCCAGAGCCTGCTGAGCAACTCTTGATGTAAGCCTTTGCTTGTTCTCACTGATCTGAGAGCGCCGTTTTCACTGCTTTCCCAGCTCAGCAGACTGGAATCACCTTAGACAGACTTAGACCTCTCCAAAGACTGCCTGCACTCCAGCATCTCATGCGGCCAGACCTGGGAGTTCCTGTTTGCAATGGGAAATCATACTGCGAGCATAGTTAAGGCTGAGACAAAAACCCCGGCTTCTTTGGCAGGGAGCTGTCACTGTGTTCAGCTGCACATGGTTCTATCTATGTTTGAGTTATATTTCTAATGACTTCCAGTCCTCCTCCTCAGAAACCTGTTCTTCACTGGACAAAATGTCATGAATTAAAAACACAAACTAGGGAATGGCATCCACAGGAAAGCGGTGGAGTTCTGGCGAGCTGTCGTCGTCTGGGAAACCAGCCGCAGTCACCCTCCAGCAGTTAATTTGTCAGCTTCCCCTCATTGCAGTTTTAATTTTCAAACTAGCTTAGGTTAGCTACCACAGCAACCACCGAAGTACTACCCTGCACGTGCTGTCACACGCTCGCGTCATTCCCAAGAGCTGTATGTGGTTTCCCCTCTTGTTTTCCAAATGCACGAGCTACCCGCAGCACATGGGGGCAAAGAGCTGCTATGAGAGCTCCGCCCTTAAAGCTTTTGCTCAGGAATTGTCACATTGACAATTGTTTACTTGCAAGACTCGGGCAGCTTTGAAAAACCTCAGAGTACAGCGAGACCCAACCTGCCTACTACTGCTCAGTAAAGCCGAGAGAGACGCCAGCGGCTGTCTGGGCTGCCTTCCCCCGAAGGACATCTGGAAGGGCCTTCAGGCTGCCGGCGTCAGGGCTGTACAGCAAAATCTGAGTTAGAGCCACCATCCCGTGTCGGAGGTAAGGTACTAGAAGGGAGTAAATGTCAAAGTGTCTTACAATGCCAGGAAAGAAACCGTAAGAGAAACAAGTACCACAATCATCTGTGTTTTTGTAAGCCCTGCCTTTCCAGGCTTTCCTTTTGTTTATCACGTGCTGCCCAGGAACTGCCTGGGCTCCCCGAGTTCTGTCTAGTAAGGAACACTGCGGAAGTGTTAGCACACCTCCTCGCCCATGCTCTGCATCCTTTCACAGCCCTCTCTTGCCTTTCACCTCTGCTCGCACCCTGGGCTAGGCTGAAAACCCCTGGTTCATCCTACTTCTCTGAACATCCTTGCTGTTACTCTCCGTATCGTCTCTAGTTCTGCAGCTTTTGGGATATGGCCTTTCCCCCCTGCATCTGCGGGTTACCGACCTGTCGGGTGCAGACATGCCGGTTCTCGGGTGCGCTCTTCCTGTTGTTTTGCGTTAGCGTCACGGGGTGATTTAATAGCACTTTGCACTTTGCCTTACAGAGGCTGTGCCGGCTCTCCTCCCTCTTTCTGCACAGTCCCGGGTTTAGAGATGGAGGAATTAAAACGGATTTTAGGTAAATGCTTCTGCTCCCATGTAAACAAGGCAGCCACGTGGCTTTTGTTACTATGAACAAACAGCTAAACAGTACAAGTAGAAGTAGTACCTGGAGGGGCTGTAAGGAAGCTGGGGGGGACTTTTCACAAGGGCCTGTAGTGACAGGACAAGGGGCAACGGGTTAAAGGGGAAGAGGGAGATTGAGATGGGACATCAGGAAGGAATTCTTCCCACAGAGGCTGGGGAGGCACTGGGACAGGTTGCCCAGAGAAGCTGTGGATGCCCCATCCCTGGCAGTGTCCAAGGCCAGGCTGGATGAGGCTTGGAGCAACCTGGTCTGGTGGAACGTGTCCCTGCCCATGGCAGGAGGGTTGGAACTGGATGGTCTTTAAGGTCCCTTCAACCCAAACCATTCCATGATTCTATGAAGATGTTCAGTGCTTGCTTCCGATGCTCTCCAGTAGACAGCAGCTCCCCCCCAGCCTGCCGCACGAGTGCTTTGCACTACAGCGTTCTCGCCAAATGATAATTTACAATTTTTATGCAAATGCTGTATAAATAGATACCTTGAACATCATTAGCGCTCGTAACATCCCAAAGCATGTTTTTAACATGTAGATTAAAAGATCTTTTGGAAGCCCGTATGTATGACCTGATCCAAAATACAGATGTAAAGCATCTAAAGCAGGATTAGAGGCCCAAAATTAAAAAGTCATTCATTTCCTCTATTTTATAAATTATGACTTTTGAAAAATAATGTTTAAAGATCCCTTCACAAACGAGGAGGTAGAAGAAAGAGAAACATAGCGCTGCACACCTGAGATTCCACCTAGCTGCCCCGAGTCTGCGATGGTGAAAAAGCCATTTGGATTTTACATCACCAAAGAATCTGCTCTAATGTAGTTTCATCTTCCTGAGCACTTTTCCCAGATCCTTCTGTGCTGTGAGTCATTGAAGACCAATAGTTGCATTTTAAAAATGACTTACAGTTCAGTCACCAAAACGGCGCATTTCACGGCTCCACCACGCTGCAGGACTGTAAAGCTAATTCACAGGTTTTACAGCACCGCCTTGGCAGTCAGACTCATTTACATTAAAACCCTTTAAGCCACAAGGAAAAGGAACCCTGCTCTTCAGACTTAAATTCAAACTTCACTTACCAGTGCCCATCCCATAAAACCAAGAGCTACTCCCACAGAAATTTTATTGGGCTTTTTGTAATAGATGAAACTACATCGACAGGATTCTCTTATTTTAGGAACTGTTTTTGTTATTGCTTTGATCCCTGGCAGCAGCTGGTCTGCTCCGCTGTGCGCAGGTGCTTTCTGCGGGCTGAGAGAGCAGCTTATTCAGCAGAAATCACTAAACCAGGGCTCTTGCTGTAGGATTCCACGGCATTCACATCATACTAAGGTCCCTTTCTGGGTTGTTTTTCACTTGAAAGACAGTGCGGTGTGAGAGTTCTTAAACATTCGGTAACTAATCAATTCCAGATAACATTTTCCACTACAAAACTACAGCTTATGGGTACCATGCAGCTAAGTAAGTGAGGAACTTGTGGACTTCTCTTTGTGGTTTGATTCCCCCCCCCCTCCCCCAGCTTGTTTCTGCCTATAAAACACAGATTTAAGCAAAGGGCTGCATTATTTCCTGGGTGGTAATTAACTGAGTGGAAAACAGGAAATTCCAAGTCCTTAACAACTGTGAATGATGTAAAGATCTCCAGCCTTTTCCTAATCTGAATTACACCTAGGAAGTTCTCCTTCTCATGGCACAGCAGTGGAGATGGTTGACATTGGTCACTGGGAACCTTTTTCGTGTTAAACCTGCTGAAGAACGTTTCCTAGGGGTTGTTCCTTGGTGGCATACGCTTTGGTAAAGTTACTCCCTTGACACTGCTCCTGCTTCAGAAGAGGCTGGTGGGTTTGCCACAGCAGCCCGTAAAACGGCACATGTATCCCTTTTCTTGGATAGCGAGTGATTGTCTAGTTAAAATTACTTAAAACACAGTAGCGTCAGACACTGGGTACGTAACAC